TTATTTGAAATACTTTAAACTACAATAACTCAGATAAAAATCCAAAAACTAAAATCAACGAAAACATATTTATTTATTTATTTTTAGTATTTAAATGTTTAAAAATCCTGATAATACATTGTTTAAGACAGGTGTCATGTAAGGAGGGTAGATTAGGGGTAATATCACCTCTCTACATTGGCCTGAAAACACAAAAACGATAACTATTAACTTTTCGATATTTTTTTGAAATTGTATATTTTAATCTATAATTGCAGTTCATAAATCTCAATTTATTAAACATAAATTGATTTTTTTTGTATCCGACTTATAATTTCTTATTGTCACGTAACAATCTAAAATTCTTATTATTTAATACATCTCCATCCATTGAACATTTATAGACATGCACAGAAAATTTAAATCTGAATTTACAATAATTTAATCGATATTTTCAAATCACGAGAGGCGTTTTACAGATGTTTTTATCGGTTACAAAGTATTATTATTCTGACAGCCACTGCCAATTGTCATTTCATAATATGTCGTCCATGCGGTTAGACGAAAGATAGGTACATAATAAGTGTAACATGAAAAATGTACTGATTTGTTCATACGAATCGTTCGGATGAACGGTTACACGCAAAATCGTATCGAAGTAAAGAAATGTGTAGTCACAATCATCGGGCGCGATTTTTTTTTATGGTGAAAATCAATAATAATAATATTATTATGGCGCCTCGTCATCAGATTTATTTCGTTAGGGGCGTCTGACCCGCGAGAAAGAATTGCAGATTCAACACCTAAAAACACACTGCACGTTATAAGATTGTACAGTGTGATTTTTTTGTTTTTTTAATCTCTATCCAGCTATTATCCAGAGATTTTTAGTAAAATATTTAGACCAGTAAACAAGGGTAATAAATTGTACAACCATTTTTAAACGATAAAAACCTTTCCCTGTTCCTATCCGGTCAAAAAATTAAACTTCATTCATATACGTGGTGCTTATACTCGGAGTGTTATAGTGCTATGCTTAACGAAACTTTTAAGTTGTCTTTTCAAATCTGAGTCGAGGGGAGGTGTGCTAATGGAAATTCAATAGTCCATTGGTATATGTGTTATTATTTATAGTATACGACATAAGAGTAAGTATTGTATTAAATGTTCAAATACAAACAAAATAACAACATATTCAACTAAATACAAATAATATTACAACACAATAGTAGAGTATTTTTAAAAATATTATCAAGAAAAAGGATTTATGTAACACATTTAGATATACAGTGAAATCTTTCTTAACGGATTTTTCTAAGTAGCCAACATCTCGAAATAGTGGTCTTTATTTTTGAGAAACGAGGTCGTTTTCTCTACTCATCTATAGGAAATTCTCTATATACACCTAGTATTTAGAGGCGATCTAAATAACGGACAAATTTATGTTTTACACATTTTTGATTTTGTTCATTTTCATCGTATATTTTGAATAATTATGAATAAAATACAAATAAAATAAAATGCAACCCTCTCTTCAATTGGAAAATATTTAAAACGCCACCACCATATGATAAAAATATCACGGAGTGAAAACCAACAGGTAAAAAGCTAAAGGCCAAGTAGGAGATCCAGAAATTGTTGGTTTGGTCTGAAATAATGATTGATTAATAGTGAATACCACAGATAGATTTGGGCCGTGGTTCGTATTGCAATATTGCAGGGAAAAATGTGTTTGAGACGGAAAGACAGGTGCAAGGAAATTGTGTTGACGGCTATAAAGTCCGTGTACCGTTGTTAAGTTAGGAAAAAGTGTTTTTTTTTTTTTTTTTGAAAATCATCCTATACATCATGGAGGTGATGTTCGAAATTTTGAATCTCGCCACGTGGTCCGCTGCCACCGGAGGAAGTGAAATTGATTTTCGGCCAAACGGAAATATTCAGCTGCTGCTGCAGCGGGCGAACAATGGAAAATTTCGTACGGGTGTCGGCTCGTAATAATAATAATAATAATTACTCTAATAATAACGATTGTTGTTTTCGCCGCCGCCATCGCCACCCTGTGGACATGTTCGAAAACCCCGTGTACAAAAGAAAAATTGACGGGATGTTCGTAGTCGTTGTCGGGATGGCTTCTTTCCCTTCCGCTACGTCCCTCTTCTAAATCGTATTCTTTCTTCTCTGGTCTACTTTTCGTTTTCTCGCAGTAATATATTATTATATTATCGATTACCGCCGTAACCTACCTACACGTTTAAAATTAAAAACGTTAAATTCCACGCTAGCGACTTCTACTCTCGTTTTTAATAACAATATATATTCTCTACGGGAACAGCGCAGCTCTGTTCGTCGGCAATAACTTTAAGACACTTTATACCCGTCGCTTGTTACAAAAAAAAAAAAAAAAAAAAAAATTATTGTACTTTTCCAGCGCACCGCCTCGATCCGAATTGCAACGGAAAATATTTTGTGTCATTTTTTCGATTGGAGCGAGATTTCCGCTAAAATGTTGTGAAAAAAAAAAATAATAATAAGCACGCAACATATTATAGCGAAACCGTGTTCGGTTCAGAATCTAAAGTAGGGACGTATATATAATCGAATGTTTCGCGTTAACGAAATTCCAGACTTGCGGGTCTGAACCGTACGCAGGTGATGGCAATGATATTATAATTCCTCCGAGAGATCGGACGGTTAAAAATGTAGGTGCCTCGCTACCGCGGCCACCCAAAACCGAGTGGCGAAGTCGTCCGAGCGGAAAGACAAAGTGAAAAACCGACGACGACGTAGGTACACATATTGATTTATATGGTTACCCGTAGGTAATATTATACAAGTCGTTTTCGGTTAAAACTTATTCGGTCGTCCGGAGAAAGAAAAATTACGTGTATTAGCGTTTGTTATTTGTATTGAGTGCTGTAACTCGATAATTGACATCCTATGCCGGGGGACGGGGAACAAATATAACGTACTCGCCTTGTTTTGTTTTTTTTTTTTTAGTATTATTGTATTTCATTCCATCGGAAAGTCTAATATTTCGTCTTTTAATAATAATATGCGTCGAAGTAATGACGTATATCATACGTGCGAGTATAATGTTTCGTGCGTTTGTTTTACACTTTGCGAATTATTGTTAAAATACAATGTTTTGTCGAGGGCGATTCTTTTATTACCTTTAATACTTTTATACACCGATCTAATTATGATTTCGAGTAAAATCGATTTTGTATTTTTCGTTCGGCCGTCATCAAGAATCGTTTAATGATTTTGACCAATGGCACAGTCAGGCAGAAGAGGGGGGGGGCAGTTATTATTTCCAAACTGAAAATTCAATAACACATAATATTTGAGTAATACGTACGGTTACGTAGGTATAATTTGTCTTGCGAATTGTCCAAAAATTGTATTTTAATATTTATCTGGAAATTTACGAAAACTTACCTTTAGGAATAAACGGAAATACGCCATAAAACCATAAAAAAAATGTTGATTTTCAAACCCTTTTCCGTCACTCATTCAAATATCAGAACATTTGATTAAACATGTGGCAATAAAACTACAAAGCTATACACTATTATAGCATAACATTAATATTCGATTTACCACTTATGAGTTATAACAGTCTAACAATGTGTATCGAATTTATTGCTTTTCCCAATTCAAATATATTTTTTCTAATTTCTGTTAAAAATCAAGACATTTGACAAGATATTTAAGATATAAAGAATGGCAGTGAATATTGAAAAATGCGGTGTAAAGAAAAATAAAATATTATTACAGTATTATTGAAAAAAAAAATCAAGAAAGCAGATGGATTAAAATAAAAAAAAAAACCATTCAAAACTTTTGATAGAGATGATATTTGAAAAAAAAAAGAAAAAAACATTCGAATAAATAAATATTATGCAATATACACACTATCAAAACCTCTGTAACTCTAAAATAAAACAAATATTTAATTATGTATACGAGATTGTTTTTTAAACTACGTTCTTCGTATAATATGAACATAAACAAATTAAGACCGAACGAATAACGAATTATAGTATTACGATTAAATAAATTGAAAAAAAAAAAAATCTAAACACTTATAACGCTTAATTTAGAGTATTTTGACTTTCAGATGAGGGTCGTATAATGTATAGGATTACAAAGTAAGTCCCGTTTAAATCGGGATTACAATGTGTACCCGAGTGCCGTTAATTGTCCTTTTTTTCATTTTTTTTTTTCACTATAGGTACCTTATATTTGAAAATATTAGCGGACCTATCTTTATTTTTAAATTGTACGTAGGAAAAAACAGTTTATGTGTATAAAAAAAATATAATCGATAATAACAGTAAAATATTCCGCGAACGGACAGATTTTTTGTTTTGTTTTGTTTTTTTTTTTATCAAAACGAAACTATAATATTATGCCCGTGCTTTTAAATAATTTTTCATGAGATACGAATAATACAAAAAAAAAGATACCCCATTTTTTGCTCTTAAAAAATATAATATTTGTATACTCACGCACGTGGGTAATATTTATTTTAACATATTATATACTAATATTATTAAAAATACCTTTTTAACATAAGATACAGACATGTTTACACGCGAAAATTTATCCCTTTTTCTCCCTCCCCCCCTCCCAAAAAAAAAAAAAAAACTTTTCGCTTTAACCCGTCTTCCCGCGGGCCCCTTTTCAACGAAATAATAACGTCCGTTCTACCATTGTGATAACTATCGTTTTCTTAAAGGTCAACGGAAACGTCGTGAAATCGATGTTTCAATAACGGTAAGTATAAGTCGGTATTGCCAATGTAATAATATTTTACTATTATTATCATTATTATCGTATTATTCTCGGATATTATACGACTATGATTCGTATAATAATAATCGCCGGACGTCTTCTTTTCATTGTCGCCGGCAGCCCGCATTTCAAAGGATTTTAATTAAATTTCGTGAAGCCGCGGTCTGGGAGAAAATTTCAGTCCGAGCAACTACGAAACGCGCGCGTTTTTCGGCGGACGCGTCTTTTCGCGTCCGATGAGAAAAGTTCCCACCTCGGCCAACGGTATAGCGGACCCTCCGGTTCGTGTCTGCGGGTCGGATCGATCTTTGAAACGCAAGGAACATAATAATATATTATTCAGTCGAAAAATGTCCTCGCGGAGGCATCGAGAGAAAAGTATCCGCACAGCCAGCGCGCTGCAAGAGACCGCTAACCGCGGGATTTCCGCCGAAACTCACGTGAAACGAAAAGACAGCGGCGAGTCGCGCGCTACCCGACTTAATTTGTGTTTATTTTAGCGGCGTATTTACGAGGGGGGGATCAAGGGGATAAATCCCTCCCATGGACTATATTTATTTAAATTGTTATACCTATCATATTGAAAATATAATTTTTTTTTTTTTTTTTTTTTAATGTATTGATTATTGATTACATTAATTGCAAAAATTAAAATATTGTCTGTATATTCGAGTTGGTGTCTGGATAGTGATCAAACTGAGACCGCGGTGGTTACTGGATGAGGGTTCTCCCACAGTGTTAATACGGCGGCATACGGATTCCAATGAAAACGTCGTGGTTTATTTTCACTTTTTCGCGAGTGTATCAAATCATGTATCCTTTTGAGACATACTATGCGGAAATTTTCCATGTTAAAACCACGAAAATGACACTTTACGTTCGTTTGTTTCCGGTATCCGTCAGTTAGACCGGGAAATAAACCGTGCTATTCTCTAGTAATTGATTTGGTCGCCCGCGAGCACAAAAAAGTCGGATTTTTAAAATGCGATTAAACGAATCGAAAAAAAAAAACGTTGATAAATATATTTACGTACGTCTATTCGATATTTGCGAAAACACGGACGGTCTCTATAATATATTGTACATACCTACGTAAAATTCAAATACCAAATTCGCGCAAAAGTAATTTTACTCGCGTGCATTTGATTATACAATGTGATCCGTATAAATGTTTCTGTTTTGTTTGCTGGGCGAAAGACGAAAGCTATAGTGAGTAATATTCTAATATTTTTGATAGACTTTTTTTTTTTTTTTTTAGAGATTACTACGTAATCTAACCCAATTAAACGTTAAACGGTGAACCGTTACAAGTATCGAAATTCGCGGAACGAGTTGCGGGTCGGGAATGAATTTTCAAAAATAATAATAAACTATTTTTGCGGTGTAAACTGAACAATGTAGTTACAATATTATGGTTATGGTGGCGCGGCGTCCGTTTGAAAAATCAATTATCGGCATCTCGGACATCCGAATCTATGAAAATGCAATTTCGGTATGTTTTTTGCATGAAACGTGCGCGGATTTCAATAAATCGAGCTAATATGTACGGTATTTATCATAAGGTGCGGTTGAACGACGGCGCGATTGACGCGGAGAAAAATTCTGAAGCTTAAGTCAAAAAGAACCAGTGTTACTTGTTGGTGAAAATGAGTTATACATTGCCAATCATATAAAATTGTATACGCTTTTTTCAGAGGTAAAAAGAGCGTGTTTCAATAATGATTACTGTGAAGACGAATGTTGTACGAAAAATTACTATTGCAATATTAGAAAGGCCCAAAAATGTGTTTTACTCATAATTTTCCAAAATTGATTAAAAGTGAGATTGGTCCTTTTTGACCCAACCCCCGGAATCGTACGCGTACGCAGTTGACCACCGCAATTAGTTCGGCGTACGCGTATTTTAATATAAGCTGTGGTGCATGTAAGTTAAAAAACTGTTCGAAACATCCCCGCGTGTGTTAAAATCCGGGAGAACGTTTTTATTAATGTATTTTGTGGAAAATTACAACGAACCCGCGGATAATATTTTTAATATTTTGCCAGTCGAGTTACGAACATTATTATTATTTTTTTTTTGTTTTAACGCTATAATACATGTATTTACGAACTCGCGATATGCGTGTAACAACGACTTTTTCGTTTCAGAAATATACGACGTTGGCACTAAATATTATAATATAATATATAATGGCGTTATGACAATATTAATATACTTATATTTTTCGATTATAATTATTATTGAAACGTATTTTCGCGAAATAGTGACGGGAGTACGTAAATTTCACCAGCCCCTTTTCCTCACCCCTATGCGAAAACTTTAACATTTTTTTAACGCGAATGTTTAGCGCGTGATTGATCTAATTCAGGTCGTTAAATCAGAAAAAAAGTATATTAAACTCCCCCTATGGTTTTTCTGATTAAATGCATACAAGTACGATGGTATAGCCTTACAATTCCGCGTTAAACATTAACGTAAAAATAAATTGAAATCTTTGAATTGGCGATGGGGAGGGGGGTTTAGAGTGGAATGTACGCAATGAGATTATCGTTTTACTTTTTCGCGGGAAATTGAAACATTTGTCAATAGTTAAAATTATTTCTGGAATAAGTCAAAGAAATGTTATTCTGTACGATTGAAAAAAAAAATGAAGAATTTCGTACGTTTTTGAAAGCCGGGAGTTCAGGAAACGTTTCTATTGAGGTGCAGGTATAAGAAAACCCAAAATCCAAAATAATGAAGGGGCAGTGTAATGTACGTAAATTATTCTGCGGATTATTATCTAGATTTTCGACTGAAATATTTTCAGAAAGAGGAGAAACACCATACACCTCCCTACGACCATCTAAAATGTGGCCCGGTTTGTTAGTCGGTTATCGCAGGCGATGCTGTTTCGTATTCAAATGTCTGATCCTTTTTTTTCCGAATAAACCGAAAATACCCAGTGAAATCACGTTATTATAATATAATGTTTTACCGTCCAATATTCAAATATACTGCTTAAGACCGATGGAAAAAACGAAATACATTCTACTACTTTACTCTGCAGTGGTTTAAAAACGGATTGGAAATATTTCCCTGAAAGAAAACTACATAATATTATTATAAAGTAATTTTTTCGGTATTTTTTCTCTCTCGTAATCGGGTTTGTGTTTTCGGTTACCTCGGGGAGGAAAATAGTCGTTATCAAGACGAATATTAATTATTCTTTTTTTTTTTTTTTTACGATCGTTCTGCGAGTCATGCGGCCCGATCTGCACCTATATGGACAAAATCGGTAAATCCTCGTCGGTTTTGAACAAAATCCCTACGAACATAATTTTTTTTTCCCCGAACTACGCGTTATTAATACCGACGGTGGTACACGGAAATAAGATTAATGGACCGAAATGGTGTATGTATGTGTGGGGGTTTGGGGGGTAGGGTTAATACAAATACCGTCTTCTTAGGGAACGGACATTATTCGACGACGACCTATCGTATCGAATTTTCGTTTACCTATAGAGCTACCTGTATATTTATCACGAGACTCGGCGAACGACTCGAATCGCACGGACAAACATTCCCAGGAGCAATAAATAATTCAATATTCCAACCAAACGACTATTGCTTGTATATGCACGAAGCTTTTTGTTTTGTTTTTATACAAATCTCCTTTTTATTTTTTTGTTTTTTTATTTGTCGCGTCGTCGCAGTCGCAGTTGCAATTTTTCCTCCGTTAAACCGTTCGCCATTGTTGTATTATTTTGGTATTCTTTTTTGCATTATTGTTATTGTTTCCTGCTATATTTGTTTAACCAATATTTAAAATGTGGATGTTACTGCAGCGATATAGCTCTCGAACTTTATTGATTTTTCTAATTTTTTTTTTTTTTTTTTTTTTTTTTTTTGTATTAGGAAATGGAATTTTATCGCGTAGTGAGATATAATTTTGTTCCGTCAAATTTACATAAATAATATATTAATAATGAAAAAAACAAATTAATGATATTTTTTTTTTTATATATACGTGAATATTTTTGTTTTAGTGCAATTTGATTAATATTTTTGCATAGTATTTTGAAGGAGTCGCGTGCAAATTGGTATTTGATGAAGGAACTCGTCTCATGTTTAATTTGGATATCTCGCAATTATTAAAATAATTTATATTTATTAAACAGTTCATTTTTTTACATTTTTGTTTTAATGCATTTTTTGTGCAATTTCTCGCATACATAATTTTGGAGTATTACATGTTCGACGATATTATAGTATTATATTATACTGTAATTTCTTTAAAATTGTTTTTCGAAGAGTATATTTTTATTTAAATAAAAAACGCACACGCATGCAGCTCGATGTTACAACTACTATATATTCTCTGTATTAAATATATTCTTGAAATAAATAAATTACAATTTCGTAAAACCAAAACTTAACGACGTTAGGTAGGTAGTAATTATTATTGTAATTTTTTTATTTTTTCATAGTATAAACTATTATTATTCGAAAATTGTCGAGTTTAATATTTTTATGAAATATATTTGTCCGCAATAGACCAGAAACTTGTGGAAAAAAAAGCGTTTACCAGAAAATAAAGGACCCTGAACAATGGTCATAGAAATATATAATATAATACTTACGTAAATGTACCTGGAGTTCGACGCATATGAGAAAACGTAAAATATTTGGCGGGTTTTTTTTTTTTATGCCTTTTAATGTAGGTTATAATATATAATTACTAATAAGTGTGTTTTGTAATTCCGGATTATAAACATTTTGATTGTCCTTTCGCGTGTTTATAATAATATATTATACTACTTTATAACAATACAAGGACTATTTGACAAAAAAAAAAAAAAAAAACTCATAAAATTTGAATGCGAGTAAAGGAATTTATGATAATTTTACCTATTACCTAATACCAATACACCTAGAGTTGCTTAATATAGGTCGGAGGACAGTCGAATCCAGATCAATGTCATTGTCGACAAATCTGTTTGAATGTCTAAGAAATCTTTTAAACGAATAATATATATGTATATTTATAATATACATAGTAATCAACTTATCGAGAATCAACGACTTTCTTGGATAATTTTAAGTGGTTTCGACTCCTGCAGTTTTCTTGCAACGTTATGGAGTCGATAAAGCTTTATTTTAACACTATTTCCAATTCTACTTCTAATTCATATCAGTGGCGTGGCGAAATTAAAATTTTTGATTGAATCGCTCGTTGTGGTTGACTACTCACCCAAATTTATTCGACAGCTAAGAAAAAAAATACAATCCTTGAATTTGTGAATATTATAGGTATAGGCGCAAATAAGGTAACTTGAGAATTATTCCATTGCATAATACATCCATGGATAGACCCCTAAAAATGTGTAAAATGTTTATGTCTCCCTCGGAATTGATATATCTATAGTCTTAACATAAATATGCCCTCTCAAACTTTTGTCCCTATTTAAGTTAACATTCTATCTATGAAATTTCACTTTTTGAACACCTTTCAGTAGCACATTGTGGTAAAACGTTAGTTTTTTAATATAGTTTGATCTTTAAGCGATATTAAATTAAAAGTGTTAAAGCGATTAAGAACATTTAAATAAGAGACCTACGATAAAGACACCCCAATAATCTTCCAGAATTCGTAGATTTAATCGTCTCCCATTATATCCTATAGCTAAAATGCGTATAGATTTCGGATAAATGACAAAGCAAATTTTCCATAGAAAAGTTTTTCACAGACACATACATACACATCCATACCCACAAAACACGCGCCATAATAAAGCCAATATATTTCTCGCTGTACTTTCCAGTATCACAAATCAAACCGTAGTAAATCTATTTCAGAGATGAAATGTGTCGCTGGCCTTTTATTTTAAAATTTCCGGTCGGAAACCCTCGTAACTTTTTATAGAAAAAAAAAAAAAACGATTTTCCAAACCGATTCAAAAATCGTCTCAAAAACACCCGGCGTAAATTTCGTGACGTTTTTTTCTCTTCTAAAGAACCGGGGAAAAAAACCGACCACTTCGAAACGCACAATAGCGGTTAAACATGTTTTCAACACGTAGGTACCTATGTAATAATATTATGACGTTATCAATTATTTACCGCAACACGCGAAACTTTCGGATTGCCGTTGTACAATATAACGTCACGCGAGGCTAAAAAAACGAACCCCGTTTTACGGGCTATTGAAAACGCATCTCTCGCGTGAAAAAAAAAAACGCCTCCCCGAAAATTACCATCGTAAAACTAAATAATACGCGTGACGTGTGTGTGACGGGGGACGGGGGGGGGGGTGCGATCCGAAAGTTTTGTAATTATTAAAATATTTGTCTCACCGTTCGGGCGACCGATTATCGGCCGGTACCCCGGGGGCGGGTGTAAAGTTGTAACGTCGCCGGGCTACGCGCATAATATTCGCGGCCCGCCAATCAATTTTCGAAAAGTATCGCATGACGGTTTTTGTTGTACGGGCGCGCGCCGTCATTTACGTCAACGCGTGGTCGCGGACAATGGCGTGTCGGGTTTGTGTACCGGGCGCGATAAATTTAAACGCAAAGTATAACGCGTGGGTAGGCGGTGTATATCCACGCGAAGTGTATGCTGTACGGCGCGGAATTAAACGGAAACGACACAAAAAAAAAAATCGACGTGAAATTATAAATAACGCGTGCGTGTTTCGGCGGGAAAAATTAATAATAAAAAAAAAAAAAATTCGTGCGCTTGAATGTCGATCATTGAAGTATAGCCCGGATGTAAGCAGGTGTTTCGCGCAGTTTTTACAGCCCATTATTGTATATTATCTTCCATTCCCGAATAGGATAAAAATATAGTGTCTGATTTCCGTTTACCCTATCCCTGTAATTATCTGTGATCGTACTGTTGGCATCTAAGATGATTTTATATCATTCACCTAGTCGGTTGATGAATTAATGTGGTGGACTAGATGTGGTTGTTATCAGTGATACCATCACAGTTGGGGTATAAAGTGTATACATTATAGTATTGTATTATTACAATGTTCGTTTATTTGTCGGTTTTCGAAGACAATTTTCTTTTACACAAAATTGGTTGGTAGATTGGATGGGGTATTCGATCCCCATCTCCGAAAGAAAATTGTATTTTATTGGTGATTAGGAAGGACACTTTTCGATTTCCCAAGTGGTTTTCATAATAGTTGGATAAAACCGAAAACAAAATTATAGGTAAAATTACATTTATTAACTATATGCCGTGGTGTTATCGACTTCATTATTTTTAAATTTTACAAACTATTTTTTCCATTGGAAATATTCCTCCAATAGAAAAAACCGAATGAAAATTATTTTGTAGTTATCATTGAGAAAAACCTAAAAAAAAAAAACGTAGAAAGAACTGGAAAATTTACAAAAATAACACTTTTATTATTTTCAATTTGGTTCTTTAGATCTAATTCAGTTACAATTTTTTTTTAGGAACATTCAATTTTGACAGAAAACTGATACTTGATTTTTCTAGACGTCGTAATATTTTCAAAAAAATTGAGCCATTTTTGAGTTATTTTTAGACATTTTAATTTTTACGAGTTTTCTACGTGATTTTTATTAAGTAGGTACTCTGTGGATACGAAATCGTTAGACTCAACAGAAATGTTTAAAAGTTGAACAGAAGTTCCATTATAAGTCGTACTTAGTGGTAAAAAAAAAAAAAAAATTGAGTGTACTTGGTAATTTTTTTTTTTATTAGAATTTGAATATTAAATTTTGAAGAAAATCGTTTGAGTTTAAGTTATGTGGAACAAATCGAATTGTTTATTTTAAACATATGTACATTGCCGATTTAAGAATGACGGTGAAATCAATTTTGAGCGGACTTACTTAGTTTCGAAATTATAGCTTTTTAAAGTTTTGATATGTTAAATGATCTATACTATCAATTTTTTATTATGTTATTAGTCTAGTGTTGCTACCTACCTATTGTAATCCTAGAGATCGAGAGTTCAAACCCGTGTTCCGAAAACAATTTTTTGCATTTTTTTTTTTCCTTTTTACCTAAATAAGGAAGAAATAAAGGCATTTTGGGTGTACCTAGGAGACCCAAGCCATCGCTCGCTCGAACTATTTTAATCGAAAAATACCCTTCGATTTGTTGTGCAAACGTTTCTGTCAGAATCAGAAATTAGAAGTGTTGCACATTTACTGAAATGAAATTTTATCTGCTTGGTACTTTAGGGACGTAATTTTTTTGACTTTCCCAGGAATTTTCCCAATTATTGGGAAAAACCGGGAAGCAACGAAAATATATACAAGAGATAATAGTAAAAAAATATAACGTTCCATTTTTTTTCCTGTGAACGACTTTTCTACCAGCAATTTTGTTATATAGCAATAATAGTGCAAATTTTTATATTATTTTTCCTTATTTCGAGTATACAGCAAAAAGTCAGCGTAGGTATCCCAAATTATTTTATAAAATTCGTACGAAACGCTTGAAACACTTATCTAGTTCATTGTATAGCAAAAACATGAAATAAACAGGCAAATATAAATGTTATGAGTTTTGTTTTCAATAATTAGGTAGGTACACTGCACTCGCTAAAATATAAATTCTGGCTGTTATTAGATTGCGCATCTTTTCGTAAATTAAAATTAAAAAATTGCATTAATAAATGTTAAAATATAGCATTAAAGATAAACTGTAATTAATTTTTTCTGATAATAAATCAAAATTTTTTAATTATTTTTATTTATTTTATTAAATATAATGTTTTCGTTCAATTTTTTTGAACAAAATAATACGCAAATAACAAAAAAAGGTTACTTAAATTACAATATAATTTACCTAAAAAAAAATGTTAAATTAAAAACCAGATAATGATTTAGTGCTTGTTTCCGTGAAAATTACCAATTTTGCGGCTCTACACCGATTGTAAATTTCACTTTACTTTAACATAAATTAATTTGTATAATACATTAAAAATATATTATATTTTACATTTTTATTTTTGTATATTCAAATTCGTAATTTTTAAACTTTACATTTTTGAAGCTCACAGAAGTTCACATTAGACTTCACTTTTAATTTTCAATATTTGCATATAATTCCCCTCTCTTTTTAATGCAGTTTTACTTACCTATTGTTTGAAAACAAATTTATTGTACAAAATTCTAAAAGAAATTAATTTTTTACTTTGTATTTAAGAATAAAAGAAATTTTATGGTTTCAATTATCGCTCATCAATATCATACCATGAACAAATTTGATCCAACTTCAGAGTTATACAGGTGGCGAAATATTATACTCATATTAATCATTTGATACAAACCATACTTGATTATTATTTAGAATTTGTAATAGTTTAAAATTTTAAGTGTCAATTACAAATTAGTTAGAAAGCATTCGTAAAATATTGTAATATTGTAAATTAATCTTTAAACAGAACGAAGTATAAATGATATTAAATTATTAAAGATCATTTGATAACAATTTATTGTACGTCAATCGTACACATCTGATAAAAGCTGACTGCAGCAACCAGTACACTATTCAAATGTATATACAATTTAAGAAACTGGGTACACTATGACGCTACAATGTAACTCACTGCAGTCGCAATTATTACAGAGAATAAATTATAAATAAATGCGATGTAAGTGCATTTACAATTTTTCGGATTAAAAAACCATGCCACATGTGTTATTTTCGTTTTACTAACATATAGCATAATAAAATTTCGTTACTTAGAATATACGTTTTCGCGTTTAGATTGAAATTGGAATTTAATCATAAATAAAAAATTTTTTTTGTGTTACAATTTAAATAAAAATCTACATAGAGCCCTTGAAAATGACCTAAACGCCACAATTTACGTTTTAAGTGTGTACAATAAAAGCGTTATAGACAGATAGATGGATTTATGTATGTAGAAGATTTTCTAAATAAGTATTGATGATTTTGTTTTATAAAGTTGTGGAAATCTTTTATGAACTCGATAATGTGAGACACCACTACACCAATATTCGGAAAATTTGACGCCAATTAAAATATGGTTAACTAGTTGAATATAATTTTGGAAATCCGATCCGGACGATCCGACGCGTAAAGCCGAGAATGTAGGTAATAAATAAAACGGGATACCGATAACTGGGTTTTGGTGCTCGTTAACATAATATTATTTTAATCTATAGTGTCCACAATGTTACATATTATCAAAATAATTATAATAAAAATCGAAAAACGAAAATTTAAATTTTTTTATAAAAACCAGAATTTTTTTTTATTTCTTAATTTATTCGATCATATTTTGTCATTCCCAATTCTTTAAGGTAGTCATTTTATTCCAGTTATTAGTTTATTAATACATTTTGGGACTCGTTCAGGCCTGGATTAACGTATAGATAGAATAATAATTTATCTAGAATTACGAGGGTTCTAAAGCGCACTACGCCGATTTTTAATCTATTTAAAATTTTGACCGTATTCCATTATATTAAAACGATCACAATTACCATATATTGGAAAATAATGACTA